TCAATACTATCAAGATGATCAAAAACAAGTATCACAGCCAAGAGGACCCTAAGGAAGCTTGCTGACTAAATGTAATGTGCTATCCTACGGGGGATCCTAGAACAGAAAAAGAGCATAACTAAGGCAGTCTGAATTAAGTATGAACTTCAGTTAATAATGCATCAATATGGATTCATTAACTGTATCAAATATAGGATACTAAGATGATAATAATAGGAAAAACTGGAGACAAAGTATATGGCACCTCTGTACTATGTTCACAATTTTTTTCTGTACAGTAGATCTTGAAATAATGTGGTTTTCAAGGCTGTATAAAGTTGATGAGATGCCACAAGAACTTAATTCTTGTTTGTATCAATTAGCCTATGGTAAAACTGGTTTTGTTATACATCATTTTGTTTCAAGTCACAGAACCTATTGACGATGTTAAGTGAAAACTTACTGTAACCCTAAAACTAGTCTAAAAAATTAAGTTTATTATATTTTAAAAAAACACTGCTTAGAAAAAAATTAAACTAGGAACATCTGAGAACAAGAATACACAAGCACACACTCCATTATTCAGCAGAACAACAGCATCATCACATTTCACATAGTCTCTGAAAAAATGCACTGTACACTCATGAGAGAATGAGAAAAGGAGCAATTAATATCAAATACCATCATATTGCTACAAAAATAATTTCGACCTCACAGATTCTATGAAAGGGTCTGAAGGAGTTCTACAGTCCTGGGAACAGAATTCAATACAATATCCAAGCAAAATGGAAACAACAAAAATGTCTGGCTTGTAATTCTGTTGAACAATTTGTTTTATCTTTGCAATTCCTTCCATTTCAGAAGGCTGATTCAAAGTAGCCAATTTAAATTAAAATCTCAAGAAAAATTTCCTCAATTCAGAAGATACTAGAGCTAAACACTACTAAGGTTCACACAAATTTTTAAAACATAATAAATTTTTAATACGACAAACGATTTTGACCTCTAAAATACCTTATAAAGCAGTTTCCTTTGGTAAAAGAAATAATATATAAGATATTCAAAAGACTTAATGACTTTCCTTAAGGTAAGAAATGAATATATTCAATTTTTTTAATTTAAAAGAATATTTCAGTTTAGTTTACCTCAATTTATTAATAGAAAGTTGGTCCTATACTTTAAGCATTTCTTAGTAGCTTATTTCTAAAGTGATATAAATTCTGGACTTTTACAAAATATTTTAAGACATATTAAATGTACACTTGTGTTCTGAAGTATATTTAGTACCATATATAGAGATTCAATCCATATTTTTCAATATTTACCATCTAAGGCTAACAACACTACCACAAAAATAGAACTATAGGCAATTGGAACAATGAGTGAGGAAATAAATTTTTAAAAAATAGAAAGATTAATCTCACGTAGAGAAAGAAAATTAATGGACACTAAAGTCAGACTGAGTCCAAGCTTTCACAACTTCACACTACACTACTATAATAGTATCTTAATTAATATCTTTATCTCTCCTCCAAATCACTTTATATCCTGCTTCCAGATTCATCTTATCCAGCTACATAAGTATATTCTATGACATACCATTGCCTACAGAACCAACTTCAAAATCCCTGGCCTGGCACTCAAAGTTTTCTATAAATTTGGTCCCTACCTGACACACTGATCATTATTTCTGTGAACACCACTCCCTTCCAATTTACCTTAGTCAATTTTTCTACTTATTTCCCCTGAATAACCCTGAGCAATTAACTCCCCATTTAGCTTTGTCACCTACTATTCTCCCTTCCTAGACTGCTCTTCCTATTCATTTTCAGTTCTGTAATCCATCCCTATTACCTGTGCTACTCAAAGTTTATATTCTCTTAAGAAGGCTTCTCTAACTACCCCAGTGTATAACAACCGCCCAATTTTCACAACTTATGACCTATGCCTTTGTTTATGTCCCTCACTTAACACACTGTAAATGCTGCTTCTGCTTTATTTATCTGTCCCTCTATCTAGTCTTCCCAAAAATAAACTTAATTCAAAAAGAGCACATTGTGTATCTCTAGCATCCCCTTCACCTTTCAAAGTACTTGGCACAAAGAATACATTACAAAAAAGTTTACCAATGATATTTTTAAAACCAGTGCATGCAATCAGATTTTTTAAAACACTGCCACCTCTTACTGACATGCTGCTTTCTATTTTCAAAGAACTGGCAGGACCAGTATTCTTGCCTATATATTTTTTATTGAAATAGAACATTTGCCTCAATATTTTAGGTAGAAACACTGAGAATCAGAGGAAGTGTAAAGCAAAAGTTACTAAATAGCCTTGGGCTTTTTTAATGTATTTTATTGCCTCTCCTGCCTTCTAATTATTTATCTTTTTGGAGAGAAGGCTTAATATTAGTGCTTATATTAACAATAATAATAGTAGATTTTATTTACTGAATATTTATAATGTTCAAAGGTCTGTAACAGGCACTTTATATATATTATCTCAATTAAAACTCAAAACAACTCAAAGGTAGATATTACTATTATCTTTACTTAATAAATGAGGAAACTGGAAATCTGGAGAATTCAATTAATTACCCAGGTTATACAACTAAGCGATAGAGCTCAGATTTTAACACAAAGCGAAATGTCTACAGAGCCCATGTTCTTAGCTCACTCCCCCTAAATGTAAACAGTAACTAGCTTAGGACATGCAGCTCAAAGGTGACATTTCATAAGTGAGTAACTCAAAAGCGGACCTCAACATCCGCTTCGAATAGAATAGTTCAATACTTCATACTGAAGCTACTGACGTTTTCTCTAAAAGACACTATAATATTTCATGGAAGAAACTTAATGAACAAGTAGGAAAAACTGTTCTCACTGCTTTTTAAATAATTTGCTCCAACCTCTCAATATCAATAGTATTTAGGATAAAAAATGATTTAAAACTTTATTAATACAGTTCAGGTATTCTGGTATAGAATTTAATACTATCTATTTAGATACTCATTTTAAAAGGTAACAATAAATTTTAAGCAACTCTGTTCAGAAAGACAGGTATGTAGTTACTACCCTAGTGGCAAAGGAAAGTATTCAGAGACACACAGTTCCACCACTTATGCTGTGAACTCTTAGAGAAGATAATAAACCTCCTTGAGCCTATTTCTCTATCTATAAAAGTGAGGATAAACAAATATCTACCTTTAATGGCTGTTATGAGGATAGCCTTTTGACAAAGACTTAGAAAATAGCAATTTTGTTATTGCCAGCATTTTTATTATCGCTAAGAAATTTCAAATATTTTAACTAAAAGAACTTAAGAAAGCCCATTAGCTTTAAATAAGATGCTACTTATGGAAAAGTAAACACCATATTCTAAGACAGGGCTCTAATCTTAACTCTTTTTCTGAAATTATAGTGAAAATAAAATAACTTACCACCAGTTTTCCATTTATAATCATCATGACAATAACCTTCACAAATCAAGCTAGTTCCATGTCCATTTTATTCTCTATTAAAAGATTATCATTTTAAAGTTTGACTTTTTTTTTTTTTACCATTTAAGAAACTAAAACAAGTTTGAAGCAGAAGTTCAAGAAAGGTTGGGAACAAATTAATACAGGTAAGCAAAATTGCAGTTTGCTGTCAATCATTAGACTGTTCGTACATTTCAGCCTGAACAAAGGACATTCACTAAGTTAAAATTTACAAACATCTCAATATACTAGTGACTCTCAACTCCATAGCAATGTGAAAGATAGACAATTTGACGTTCATGTTATTCCAACAATACAAATTTGTCCAAGCATCTTCCACCTAACAAATCAGAGCTACCAAACCGACATTTTACGTAGTTACCAACCTTACTTTAGGTAACAGAAACATTCCTAATAAAGAGTGCATAAATCAATATTTAATGGAATCTCTCAAAATGCTACAGGAGAATTGAAAATGAAATTATCATGGAACAAAATTATTTTGTACAATTAACAAATCATCATTTAGTCTACCCTGCTGGTAGATTTTATTTTTCACTTATTGGTAAGGTATCCTTAACCACTACTACTACTAATTTATTTTAATTTCAGAATACAATTCAATCACACTCATAAGCCAGCAATGTTTATTAAATCTTTAATAAAGAGAGATAGAAACATCAACAATGAGAGAGTCATTTATCAGCTGCAGCCTGTAACCCAGGCATGTGCCCTGACCGGGAATCAAACCCTGATCGCCTGGATCCTAGGTCAACGCTCAACCGCTGAGCCACATCCGGCCGGGCATGCTCTTAATTCTTAATCGTGTTAACTGTTTCATTCCTTTCGCCTGCTCATAGCTTCACATGATATAAGATTTGGAAGCATTTAATTTCCTCATCTTAGTGAAATTATCTTGATTTCCCTAAGGCAAAAGGTTTTTGGGAAAAGCATAAACACAAACGGCCCTGGCAAGTGTGGCTCAGTGATCATAGCACTGGTCCATGTACTGAAGGGTCTTGGGTTCAATTCCTGGTCAAAGTCATGTACCTGGGTTGCAGATTTGATCCCCAGCTCCAGTTGGAGCTTATGTGGGAGGCAACCAACCAATGTGTCTCTCTCACATCAATGTTTCTCTCTAACATTGATGTTTCTTTCTTCCTGCCCTCTCCCCTCCATCCCGTCCCTTCCTTCCACTTGCTCTAAAAAATCAATGGAAAAAATATCCTCGGGTGAGGATTTAAAAACAACAACACATAAACACAAACTATTATATCAGTATGTCTTCCGTTACACAGCTGGGAAAGCGAGGGAAAAGAGGGAGGAGATGGGGCAGAAAAATCAGAAAGCTGACTGGCTGTGCTCCAAAAGAGGATTTAAACTATCTGTAATTTTCATATCAACAGAGGAATTAAAGTATTATTTTAAAATACTTTTTTAAAAGTTTCTTTAAATACATTTTAAAATAAAATCATGGATTACATCAAACACTTCACAGCTGTAAATGACAGTACTTTATTACACTGTATTATGAACCACTCACCGAAGTTTGATCAGGTTCTCCATCTGTCAAACCTGCCTCCATAGTGAAAGAAGATAGGTTTATGCTTCTCTTTCCATTAATGTTCAGCCATCCTATGAATGTGGAAATCCTAGGGGGGAAAAAAATCATTTGTATTAGGAGTGGTATGAAGTTGTGGTAAGTGAAAAATAAAGCATTAAGTACATTAGGAGGGAGAAATCATTTTAGGCTGAGGTTACTGAAAAATTCAATAATTTAAAAAAAAAGATTTTGATATAGCCTTGAAAAATGATAAAGGTTCAGAGAAAATGTTAGAAGAAAATATTCCAAGTGAAGAGAAATAGCAAGAACAGAGTTAAAGACATGAGGTTGTTCAAAATTCAAAAAGATATTGAAATCTGCTTTTAATTAATAAAATAATATTAGATCTCAGTTTTCTCATTATTACACTGGCAAAAACTAAAGAATGTGCTAATATCCAACATTAGAGAGCATGTAGGAAAACAGGTATTCTCATACATTTTTGTGATAAGAATTTAAATCATGACTTTTTTGGGAGAACAACTTAAAATGCATATGCTTCCATCCAACAATTTCAAGGCTAGGAATTATTCCACATATATACTTCTACAAATGCACAAAGATACATAAATAAACATATAACAAAGTAATAGATACGATGGAAAAACTGGAACAATCGTAATGTCCATCATTAGCAGCTCTCTTAAACTAGATTACAGAATAAAATACGCAACATTTTTAAAAATGAGATAGATTTAGACATACTAAACTAGAAAGAAGACCATAACACATTAGGTGGAAAAAGCAAATGACAGATGTTACATATAAAATACTCTCTGTGTTTCTGTATTTTTCAATTTTTGCAATGAACATGTATTACTTTTATACTTATTTTTATTTTGAAAGTCTTAGAAAAAGTATGTCTTCATCACAAGTCCTTTACTTTTGGATGTTTAACAAAATCTTTGAGCAGAATTTCTATAGTAACTACATGTATTTGGAAGTGTCTAATAACCTTTCTGATAATTCTTCCTTAAAACTGCTGACTAACAAAACCAAAACCAACAAATCAGTAGACTTCTAGTCATTTCTTGGAGTTCCATTTCTTGGAGGAAAAAAACCATTTCGTTTTTCTGCAAATATAAATGACTGTACTTACATATAGATGCTGGTGAAAATACTTTTTAATTGGGCTTTAAAAGGATGTCATTTAGTTTCCTGATATAACCAAGAAAATTAGCCCAAGCTAAGCTGACATTTAACTTATGAATCTTACATACACTTCCTCACTCTATGTATTACCATACATTGTAATTATTTTTTCTCATGATCCAATTCTCTTCAAGGACAGAGACCGTGTTAATTGATCTGACTATCTAGCACTACTTCATGGTAGACATTTAATAAACATTTGTTGCACTGAATTAATACTGTCAACTCAGTTAGCTATATGAATAAATAAAATAATCCAAAACAGCAGATGATACAAAAATTATATAGCTATTGCTATAATCCAAGCAATGGTGGCTCATGCCAGAATAGTGCCAGGGCATGTGAAGAACAGTGTTAAATTCTTTAAATACTTTGAATATAGAGTCAAAAACATTTGTCAACGAACCAGATGTAGGTGTGAATTTTAAAAGAGAGGGGGAGGGTCAGAAACTTAGAAAGTTTCTGCCCTGAACAAATGGAAGAATGAAATTGCCATTAACAGATATGGAGTACTTTGTGGGAAGAGCTGGAGAGAGAAGGAATGAACATCAGGAGCACCTTTTGGACATATACACTTTGAGATATCAGTGAGACATCTGAGAAGAGATATCAAGGAAGCAGTTGGGCATGCAGATGTGAGGTTGAGGAAAAGAAGTCAGGCTAGAAATGTGAACTGGGAGTCTGCATGTAGATGGAATTTAAAACCATGAAACTGGATGAGATCTCCTTGGGAATCTGTGTAGACAGAACAGAGGACCACGATAAGAGCCCAGAAATACTTCAGTATTAAAGGATCAATATTTATTGAATGAATGAATCTCAATTTTTGGTTTTCAATATGACTATATATAATTACTTTAGGCAAAGAGAGAACTATTCTATATAAAAAGCAAAAAAGACACAAAGTAAAAATCAAATTATAACATGACTAATTTTAAAAGGGAGCAGGGAGAGGAAAGAAAATATTAAATTAAGGGTAAGTACCCTAAATTCCTCACCTTTGATAAAAGGGAATTAAGAGATAATATTAATATATCAAGAAACAAATTTTTAGTATTTTCTTTGAAGCCAAAGACTAGAACTAAAAATCTGTAACAAGAAATCCTGGAAGGGGAGGGTGGGTGATTGGATGCTTAAAGTACAGGGTGAGGCAAAAGTCAGGTTACAGTTGTGAGTATGCAAAACATAGTTTATTCTTGTATTATTTATTATTGTATTATTTTCCATGTAAACAACTGTAAACCTACGTTTGCCCCATCCTGGATAAGCAGGCTAATTTCCCCATCATTCAGAAGTAAAAGTCAAAGATGTTTAAAGGATAATAAATAGAATAGAAAAGTTTTGGGGTTTTTAAAGTTAAAACAGTAATTAAAAATGAACTTAATGGCACTTGGTTCTAGGGAGTAGGCTTGAAGAGAAGAAGGGCAGTGTTTTCTGCGATTTTAATTTTTAAAACACTGTATGTTAGTTACTTCTACAACCAAAATGAATGTCTAATACATTTTTTGTATTAGAGTACAGTATATCCCAGTCCTAAAGACTTGTTTTCCCCAATTGCCAAGCTAAAACTAGGCCTGCATCCTAATTTAAACATCATTACTAGTTGAATTCAAAGTTTAAAGACTTTGAATTCTTTTATTTTTTTGTTATCAGTACTCTAGCAATTGTTGAGGAACAAGTGCCTCACTATCTACACTTAAACTTACAAAGTTTGTAGAGAAAGTAATTTTTATAAAAATTCTTCTCTATTTTGGACTTAGATTGTTATTTCAGTAACAGAAAAAAGGAAGGAGCATCTACTAAACAAGGCCAATGTCTTTAACCCATGTTGTTTAATCCCACAATTTATGATGCTGTCTGTATTGGATGATGGCTGCCTCTGAAGGAAGCAGCAAGTTGTGTATGATTCGTTTATGGCTTCAAATCTCAAAGGATGCCCTAGAAGGCTTTTTTTGTTGTTGTTTTGTTAAATGCAGATGTAACAAAGAGAAAAATGCTCAAAAGCAAGAGTGTTATCAGTGAACACACCAGGCTTCTAAACGATAACATCTTATCACTGGAAACTGAATTAATTCAGTAACCTTAATCTCACTGCCAACTTGCCCAAAAAAAAATTAGATTGCAAATAAGAACAACTTGGTTAAGCTAGCCTGAACTAATTTACAGTATTTACAGTAAGTCAAATCCTAAAGGAAAGAATAATATAGTGAGAAATTAATTATATAAATATGACAGTTCCCAAAAAGCAAGCTAGCACTAAAATCTTACTCAAAAACTGTGAAAGAAAAAAATTTTTTAAGCGATTGCTTTGTTGAGGCAGTCTATCTACCCAAATGGCTTTCATCAAAATTATTGCAAAATAGTATGTTACATATGCTTCCCAGAGCATGATAATATTTAATATTTTGGCCCCTATCAATTATGTTAAGATTCCTTCCACTCTAAAAATAGTAACAGTGATGATGTTGATGATAATGGAAGACCAGGAGGCAGGCAAAAAGCTGGACACTGACAGCAAGGGGGAAGTAGGATAGAAATATGCAGGGCAAGTTATCCCACTGTGGCTGTACAACTTCAGGGCAACGGATGAGAAAGACATCAATCAGGGAGACAGAGAGAAGAAACAGACTGACCTCATCAATCCAACTCTTAGAAGAGGAAAAGGCATAGTAAGTGATCTGAAGATATAAAGGTGAAAAGGGGCGGGGGGATCTAGACGACTCCACTTATCTGGATTTCTCTGGAGCATGTAGGTATGTATTCATGCTCCAGAGCACCACTCCCTTCCAAAAAACCCTTGGAAAAAAGCACTTTATTTAACAAACATTAAATAAATGCACACTACTGTGCCTATGTGTGTCTATTTCAGTCATTCTAATCTAGTTTACATTTATTTAATAACTACTTGACAACACATTAAAGCCCCAAAATTCTGAACTAGAAGGGTGTGTCCAAATATTTTATACCTCTAAATTATATGAATTCATTAAATACTTAAGAGAGTCACCTCTAGATTAGATGAATTCATTAAATACTTAAGACAGCTGAACTATTTTAGGTAGGTACGTATGTATATATCAATCATCCATCCAAGTGACAATGGTTAATAATAAAAAACACACACAAAACATTACTAAAGACTTTCTTGATCTGTTGCTTTATAAAATACACACTACTGATGTAGAGTCCAGTCAAACAATATTGTTAGAACTTTGCCCAGGGGAAAAACAAGTAACTTAGTGTTAGCCTAAATTCAATGAAAAACAGGAAATCACTTCTACCAAATTTCTGGCAAGGTATGAAGCAAATTCCATTTCCCATTATCTCTGGACCAAGCACTAATATACATTATTCATAAAATGTATGGTTTATAAACCTTAATACCTATTGTTGCTCCACCAACAGTTGTATGTCATTTACAGGGCTCAAAACACATTTATCAAACATTTATTTAAATCTTGCCATGTAAAAGACACTCTTCTAGATTCTGCACACAGGGAACAATACACATCATTCCTGTCCTAGCCAAGAGACAGCAAAATAAACTGGCTAGTATACTACAATGTAATAGCCTTACAACAAAGGTATGTATCACATGCTGTTATCTACAGCAGTACATAAGGATATTAAACCCAGACTTCTGGAGATGGTAGAGTGATAATACCCAAAAAAAACCCACACACAAACAACCCTTGCAAAGCCCCTTTATATTAAAAACAAACCAATCAACTACCAGAAGTAGAATATGTAAATAAACCTAAGTAGGATTAATTAATGCAGAACCTTTCAGAAATATTTACAATTTTGAACCTAGGCTTACGTTTTTTTGTTAATCCTCACCTGAAGATATTTTTTCCACTGATTTTTAGAGAGTGAAAGGGGAAGGAGGGAGGGGGA